AACCGGCGACCCTCCGGTTCCCAAGTCCCTACACACTGAGCTACTGCCGCCCCACACACAGTATAATTTTCATGTTGTGTGTGTGTGTGTGTGTGTGTGCACGTTTGTGTGTTTGTACATTTTCAGCATTCTCCAAAGTCGGCTGGTATGAGGGCCTTGTGGAACATTATATGTCAGCTGTTCCTTCGGTGACAGTCGCCAACACCACCTGCCATCTACCTCGTAGTGATGCCTTCCGCTTGTTCAGAGACCCAGTGTCCGGGGATTTACCCTGGCCAGGTCTTGTGTTTGGGCTTACTGTACTGGCTACATGGGTCTGGTGCACAGATCAGGTGAAATAACCTACACTTATACATATAGTCCATAGCATGTTTTTAATGGGGAGTCATGGTTAGCAAAATTGATAAATAACCATAAGTGAATAATTAAATTAATTATATTTGACATATTTATAATATTTGAAATATATGAAATCAACTAAACTTAATTTATGGAACTACAGAGTCTGAGCTTTGATTTTTGGGTGTCTAGATTCATTAGATGTAAAATAATTTGATAATGGGCAGATAAAATGTGTCTTTGTTTGGTGTCCTTTTGTTATGATTTATATTAAATAACTCGAGTTAATTTAGGGGCCACGTTTGAGGCTTAAGTGAGGAACAAATAAGGTTAAGATTAAGATTAAACCTGTCTCCTTCACAGTCTCCTCCACATCCACAGAGCTGTATACTTTTTGGAGGTTTTTGACACCACCCATTGGTTTGTGGAATACCATTTTGAAGCATGGTATATTTAGTGCCAGCCTAGTGGTGGTAGTTCCCAACAGTGTCCTCCTTAGTATGCCTCCTTGGTAATTTTTTTCCAGCAGGAAGTTTGCTCTTTTGAGGTGCAAAAGTCTATACGCAGTATGCATTTATCCAGGTAATTTCTTTACAGCGGGATCTTTTTTGGCTTTATATGCCACTGAGAAACTTAAATATCCATGGTTGGCACCACAGGTACCAGTGTTTGTGAACACCTCCTCATTCTCTTTGCATGTGTGCTCTACGGCATGTGACAGAGCTGCACAGTAACTTGACTTGGAACGCAGCTATATGGGGCAGTGAATTTGATGAATTTACTGTTTATCAGACCACAAATGAGACAAGTTACCATTATATACTGGGACTATTGAGAACAATTAAGATTAATTCATTGATCCTGAAATGCACTGGCTTGGTATCTTGATGTGTGGCAATGCCAGTCCAGTGGCATACTGCAATTTTGGTGCCAAGTAAGAGTGTGTCTTGTGATGCCCTACTGCTCAGAGCAGGTTGACAGCTCAGCACAGTCATGTTCCATAATATTTTGGTCATTTTATTTGGGGGATTCACACCCACGTAAACCTGACTATAATCACACAAACACATTTTTCATTTTTTTCTGTCTGACTTTTGATTTCTGGCACAAAAGACAACAAGGTGAGGATTTACATGTTACGTGAATATTAAATGTTGGCATCTAAATATATTTACAATGAGAATGTCTGTGTGCTTGTATTGCCTTGTATTGCCCTCATTGTAGTGAGGATATTTCTACATTGTGACCAGTCCTGAATTACTTCAAAGCACAGTTTGAAGGTGAGACTTGGTTTAAAGGACCAGTGTGTAGGATTTAGTGGGGTTTCTAGCAGTGAAGTTGCAGATTGCAGCCAACTGCATATCGCTCGCCTTTCGAGTATGAAAAAGAAACTACAGTTTCCACAAAACTGGTTTGGTTTGTCTATTCTGGGGTACTGTAGAAACATGGCAGTTATGTCAGTAAGTGTCCTCACTAGTGTGTGTGTATGTGTGTGTGTGTGTGTCTGTGTGTGTGTGCAGGTTATAGTACAGAGGTCCCTGTCAGCCAAGTCTTTGTCTCATGCCAAAGGAGGCAGTGTGTTGGGAGGCTACCTCAAGCTGCTGCCCATGTTCTTCATTGTCATGCCAGGCATGATCAGCCGAGCACTTTTCCCAGGTCAGTCTGTCTGCCTCTGTCTGTTAGACTGTGATGTCAAATGCTTCTTTATGTTGTACATGCATCATTTTGACTTTAATTTACCCAAATACATTTTCATCCATGGGATTTTCGTAAAATGTATTCATAGTTTTCTATCCATTGAAAACTCTGTGCAAGTTAAATATTTGTAAGACCAGGCATAATGTTCACATCCCTTTAGGTTGACTGACTTAAAATAATGGAAGAAAGTGGCTGTCTGAAAAAGATATGTAATATTTCCGAAATCTAAAAACAATACAGCATGCTTTTTAAAATGGTTAGCAGTAATATAAAGCACCTGTGCAATTAAGACATGCATCTTTTAACGCATAAAAAACTTATCTGTGTGGGAGGGGGAGAGTTATCCATAAGGTTAATAGTATTTGTTTTAAAACACTGAGATTTGAGAGACAGCAATTGATTCTCTCCCCTTCTCTTTGTTTGTGTTGGTGTTTAGATGAAGTAGGTTGTGTCGATCCAGCAGTGTGTCAGAGTGTGTGTGGTGCTTCGGTTGGTTGCTCCAACATCGCATACCCTAAACTAGTGGTGGAGTTAATGCCTGTGGGTGAGTCACACACATGCACACACACACGCACACTACGGGGAGTGAAAAAAGTCACAGAGAACAAGAGTATGAGTAAGATGTATGACTTCTAATAGGCAGGAGTGCATGTGTGTATGTAGTATCTGTATGCTCATCCTGTGCACACGTGCATGGTACACAAGGGGAGCATCCACCTTCAAGTAAAAAAACATGACCCTCACA